ACTGTAGACAACGCGTTTAGTCAGAATGAGTGGTAGACTCCCGAACCTGGGTACATTCCGTGGTCTGTATATGCCATTACCCATTCTTGTGCCCAACCAAACATAGATTGATATGATTTTATGACTGCTTTAAATTATTGTATGACTGGTAGATATGTAGTGGCATGGGTCCCTAACCACATAATCCGCAGAGCTAAACACGAGACGACTGGGATAATAGACATCCAATATTTAACGCGGAGAAAAGCCTAACGACGGAGGCGAGAAGAATTAATTGAAATAGTTCGAATTGATCGGATGGCATGGATTGGCCTTGAAGGTGTGGTCTTACTCATGTAACATTATTTTTATCCGTATTAAGTGTATCGTTCTATCTTCAGTCTAAATGTGTTCTTCATGATGTATTGATGACTGTTACAAAGCAATGAATCAGATTAGACAATGATGTGACTTCCAAGTAGTTACATGATAAGAAATTTACAATTTTAGGATTAGGTCTATTATCAGAGCAGTACTAATATCGAAGTAGACCATGATTCTGTAGATATATTCTCAACACGCGTAAAGGAAAGATTGAACCACGGGTTATTTGAGGATCGAAATAACTGTAATTAGAAAGAGAATTGTGCATCAAGATGTCCTAAAAAACACGCTGAGATGAATGGTATCAACCGGTGATTGGCCGTTTAACGTATGAATAACACAAGTTAAATGGTTTGAAGTATTAACCAGTAGAGTAATAACTAAAACACAATATGTCGCACTTTTCAACTGTTAAAAATGTCAGGAGTGATGATTTAAAAAAAAATCAGTTAGTAAGTCAAATAAATTTACAACGTACGAAAATGAAGACCTTGACACGCTAGATGTAACTAATGTGCATAGCTGAAATGCAAAAAATTAATACTTTGTGGTTTAACTTTCTAATAGTGAAACTGGGAATTAAAACTCTGTAAAACACGCTTTTCTTTCATTAAGCCTTATTATAACAGTCAAAAAATACTTTAGGTGAACTTCTAGAGTAGAATGTATTAGGCTCATTTAAGTATAGGATAGGATCTGACGACGTTGGCTACACTTCGTTCATTTTGCGTCGAGTTTGATTTAACTTCAAAACAGGTTCACTGAAAGTTAATAGTGATTGGAAAATCGTTGGGCCACTGATACACAAGGCTCACTCATAAATGCTGGGTGACAGTCATGTGAATTCCCCATGTTTATACATGCGGCTCATTGTATTTGCAGCTCAGTGACCTCTTTAACTTTTTTCGCTTATTGTGGGGCTTTTAATGACAAAGAATCTATTATTCAGCTAAATTATGTTCCCTTCATGCGGTAAGCCCTGCAAGATTACTTGAAAAGATCCTAAGTGTCTTATCTCAAAATGCTTTGTTCTTATATAGTCGTCTCAGTTTTTTTCACTTGCTCAAGTGTGTGCGAAATTCTCAAAAATCTTTTGCTTTTTGAGTTCAACCGAGAGTCCTGCTAAGACATGATAGATACTTTGTCTATCCCGAGTGCAGTAACCTTACCAAACTCCAGCAAAATTAACCTATCATCTACTTTATCAGTGTTGATGTTTTTAATAATTAAAACCTAGGCTCACTCAAACAAATACAGAACTGGAATAAAAGATTACAGATTAGTAGAACTCATTTTATGCACCGTAAACACCAGATGAATGAAGACGAAAGATTAAGGCCACGTAGTTGGAATTAACACTTCTCAGCACTTATTGAGTCTCCAACAATGTATTTTATTATTGATGTACTGCAGATGAGATCATCATCTTATGGAGTTAGATCACTGTATTATTTGTATGAACTATTGTTTGTTTTGTAACTGACTGTCCGTTGATTACGAATTCCAAACAAAATGCGTTCATTTGTGCTCATCTAGTCCCACTTACAGTAAATCGTACTATTTCAAAAATTCCTCGTTTGTACAATAATTCGAATAATTCTAATCATTATCATCAGTTGATCACCAAATTGTAATATTTATCACGAGAAACAAGATTTCAAGGTTGAAAGTCATAATTCCTTACTAGTGAACAGCGACCTAATGTGTTCGAATGAAAATGCAAACTGTCATGTTTCACACAAGAAGGTTTAAGAGCAGTGTTTCAGAACAAATCTTAAATAGTCGTCTATATGCAGCATTTACATCTATACAGCTTTCGAAATTGATACTTATTTTGATCTCTCAAACTGGGTTACTTAGAATGGTGAAGTCCAGATAGTTTACATTTTAATAACTGAATGGTGAAAATAAATCTATCTTAACCTTGTCTACATAATTCCTATTCAGATTCCAGGCAGACATGAATATTCAAGCCTAAATTATGATTAGATTCATTTTCTTTTGTTCCGTATTCTGTATAATTCATTTGGTGACACACTTAAACCTAGAATTATGATGTCATGATTTGTAGCTTAAGTAGGTGATTTTGATGGAGTTTTGTTCTCTGAGATGGATGGTTTGGTCGTGGAGTTCTCACCTTTCTTCTGAACGACATCATCAGCACGAACTTAAGCTAAGAGTGGTGTGTTCAAATTTATCCACACATGTCACAGCTTGTCCTGTAGATCTCGATGTTGATTGGTTCTTGTCGACCTTAAACCTATCATTGTTTACTTCTTTGCGAGATACAACCAAAGTAAAGAAGCGAACAATAACAGGTCAAAGGTTAACCGTAACCAATCAATGTCGAGGTCTACAGGACAAACTGAGGGTCATATATGGAGAAATTCGAACACTTCATGTCTACTTGAATTTTGTGATGATTTCGTTCAAAAGAACGATGAGAGCTCCACGACCAAACCATCCAACATAACTTTGTATAGATTAGCTGTTATATCCTGTACTTCAAACGCCCCTCCAGGATACCTTTCCCCACGAAATAAGTTTTTGTCTGCTTCTCTGTTCCGTCTTGTACTTAACTTCCCTACAATCATATATTCTATTCCATTTTTAGTTGTTCACCGTCCAATGTTTGTTTTGTTTTCTTGGTGCTGTATAGTATTCTCATAGTCATCTTATATGTCATTACAATTTACTTAAGATATAAATATGACTTTAAACCTTGTTAGTAAATTTATGTACTTATCTATCCACTTTCATCGTTAGTGGTTGTTAGAAAAGGGAATATTAATCCATTCTTGTGGGAACATTTGTTAGATTACAAGTTAAGACTAGTGTACGCTAAATCAAGATTAAGTTTTATTACAACGAGAAGGTACTGTCACCATATCATCAAATTACCCGATCGTCCACTACTGTATAGCGAACAGTAATAAATGTCTTCTGAGTTGCTCAAACTAACGTTTGTTTTACGACAAAATATGAGGTTTGTCAGTGTTAAAATAGGAACACATCTTATGTGCGTCATCGTAATAGTCAGTTTTACTGGGATTATAAGATGTATATTTTGCTGCTATTTGATTTTAGCTTTCGGAAAAGCAGCTCGGATCTACTTTCAGATCATTTCAAGAGTATTTTCGAACCATAATCTCAGCATGATCTTACCATTAATACCCTAAAGCTTGTTAGGAAAAGAATATGTGAAATTTACTGGCCACACAAACACAATCTGCAAGGTGTATTGCATTAAAAGTAGAATTTATGCGATGATATATCCCACGTAATTTGTCCATTAAATACTAACGATTCCCAGGTTGCATAAATTCCTATTACCACTTGATAACAAGTATTTCGAAACTACCAGTAATTCTATTCAAGGGATAAATTATACCAAGTGACTACAGCTTCTAATGAGATATTCGAGTAGCTAACTACATAACTAGTTCTAAAGCATGACATGTACGTCACAATGTTAACTTTGCCTTATGAATCATGACTAACATAACATATGTATCATTAAATGTGTTTAGGAAATGACAGTTAAGTTGACACTACGAGTTTGCTCTTTAGTGTTTACTAAATTACTGGTACAAAGACCATTATTACTAATACCACCCTCCTACTGAATCTTCAAACTTACGGAATCAAGGAAGCCAACTAGCACCTGACAGAATTACTAATTGAAATCTTAGGTAGAATTTGGGAACTGGATGTAATCCCATCTGACTGGTCTCAATCACTGATTGTGCCAGTCCTCTTATGACAATCACAGAGGAATCAGTTTGGCAAATATAGTGTCTAAAATATTAGCTTCAATAATACTTCGACGCCTAACCAAAGCTCGTGATGAACAGACTAGGGAAAATCAGGCTGGTTTTCGACCTGGACGTGGTTGTGTAGATCAGATATTCACACTACGTCAGGTTCTAGAATACAGACACACATTCAGACGCCCCACAATGGTAGTATTTCTTGACCTTAAGGCGGCATTCGACTCTGTTGATCGTAAGGTTCTATGGCAGTGTGTCACTGAAAGGAGTACCAAAGAAGTACATTAACCTTATAAAGGCTCTCTACTCGAACACAACTGGTAGAGTGAGAGCTTATGGCGAACTGTCATCAGAATTGATTACCTCAAGTGGTGTTCGTCAGGGCTGCTCACTCTCTCCATTCTTGTTCAACTTTGTCATTGACGTACTTTTAGAGATAACACTTTCCTCGTCTAGATTTCCAGGGGTTGGACTTCTACCGGTCAGTCAGTCAGCTACAACGTAGGACCAGGCACATATATGCATCGGTCCAGGTTGCCATACCTCATTAGCACAGCAAGATGAACAGCGGATTCATAGGAGTGGTTAGGTCAAAGGTTGCAATAAGGATATAGTATAGGAAGAAAGAATTAGTTCGTAGAAAGAAAGAATGAAGTGATTTTAGTCTCTTGGTTTAAGGGAAGACAGGGAGTGTATACACCGACGCCATTGTGATCGATTCTGAGCCATGTCACCAAGAGTCTCCAACCATTGGTTACGAAAGTCACGCGGACCCCAACCAAGTAGTCTGCATCTACCAACATGGCTCAGACTAGAAGTTAGTGACTCCAAGCACTGATGCCACGTTTTGGTTTGGCCGCCCCTAACTTTCTTCCAACCATCCCCTACCCCGGTTAGCATTGCACGTCGTGGTAATCGGTGTTCAGGCATACGTAATACGTGGCCCAACCATCTCAGTCGATGAAGGTTCATAACCTCATCAACTGATTTACCATCATTACCTAATACCCTGCGTCTAACCTCACTATTACTTACCCGGTGATCCCAGCAGATACCAGCAATATTTCTAAGGCATCTGTGGTCAAATGCTAGTAGCTTACGGGTGTCTTCTACTCTTAAGGGCCATGTTTCGCTGCCGTAAAGTAAGACAGAACGGACTGCCGCGCAGTATACTCGTCCTTTTATTGATAGACGGATATCTCGCCTTCGCCAAAGGTGACGTAAATTGGCAAAAGCCAAACGAGCTTTTCGAATCCGTGCTGAGATTTCGTCAGACACCAACCCATTAGGGCTGATCAGACTTCCAAGATAAGTGAAGTTGTCAACGCGTTCGACTACTTCACTCCCTATCCTTAGTTCAGGTGTTGACGGAGACCAGTCCTGAAGCAACAACTTGCATTTAGAGGGAGAGAAGCGCATCCCAAACATTCTGGCATTGTTGCTTAGTGCTACCAGAAGACTCTGCATTTTGTCAGCGTCTTCACCAAACAGGACTATGTCATCTGCGTATTCTAAGTCGATAAGTGAACCTCCTGGAAGGAGATCAATACCCGAGAATTCAGTCGACGAGAGTGTTATTTCCATCAATAGGTCTATGATGAAGTTAAACAGAAATGGAGAAAGTGGACAGCCTTGACGGACACCACTTGAGGTTGCAAAAGTAGATGACAGTTCGCCATAAGCTCTGACTCGACTAGTAGTGTTCGAGTAAAGAGCCTTCACAAGGTTTATGTACTTCTGAGGTACGCCTTTCAATGACAGACACTGCCACAGAGTCTCGCGGTCTACAGAATCAAATGCTGCTTTTAAGTCAAGAAAGACCACCATCGTCGGACGCCGATAGGTATGCCTGTGTTCTAGAACCTGACGAATGGTGAATATGTGGTCGATGCAGCCACGACCAGGTCTAAAGCCAGCTTGGTTCTCTCGAGTTTGTAGTTCACGAGTCTTAGTTAGGCGTTTGATAATTATCGAGGCTAGTATTTTAGATACTATGTTTGTTAAACTAATCCCTCTGTGGTTGTCACAGGATGATTTTGACCCTTTCTTATATATTGGGACGATAATTGATTGCGACCAGTCAGATGGGATAAAGTCTAATTCCCAGATCTTAGCTAAAATATTAGTCAACTTAATCGCTAAAATTGGACCACCATCCTTAAAGACCTCTGGAGCCAATCCATCTGGACCAGCTGCCCTTCCTCGTTTCAGATTAACTATAGCCTTTTGAACTTCAGCAAGAGTCGGGGGACCTACTTCAATGTTCCATTCACACTGTCTGGGAATGGAGGGTAGTTGTAGAGTAGCTGAAGGCCAGCTGAACTGTTCCCTAAAGTGTTCCGCCCATCGTTCTAAACGCCTGGACTTGGAGCAGATGAGTGTATCGTCTTTTTCCGATATAATCTCACTTACACTTGACTTATTAATTCCAGTTTCTTTTATTAGTCTGTAAAGCTGTCTTGTGTTCCCTATAGTCGCCGCCTTTTCCATCTCTTTTGCTTTCGATGCCCACCACTGCTCACGGTCGTTTCTTAGGCTTTTTCTTAACCTAGATCTGATTTGTTTTCGCTCTTCATCATGTTCAGAACCTGATGGGACGAGTTTGCGAGAATCCATCAGTGTGACAGACCTTGAAGAAATCCACTGGTTCCTTGCAACTCTGTGGTTTAAGTCACTAATAGATGTCACTGCTGTTTCCACAGCTGATTGTATGCCCTTCCAAGCAACATCTGGGTCAGCCTCGTCTTCACAACTACCTAAGTGTGACCTCAGTTGTTCTTGGAACCTACTTTTGGTTTTCTCGTTACTCAACTCAGTTCTAACGGGTCTTTTTAATGCGGCTTTTTTGCGTCCAGTGAGGCGTAAGCAGATGCGTGCCCGTATTAGGGCGTGGTCGGAGTCCAAGCAGGTACTCCAGAATGAGCGACAATCTTCTACCGACCCTCTCCAACGATGACTGATGGCAATATGGTCTATTTGAGTCCATCGTTGGTTTGGTGTAGGGGGTCGCCATGTTAGACGATGTCTCTCCTTATGCTTAAAATTTGTGTTTGCTAAAAATAAACGATTGTCTGAGCATAGCTGCAGCAGACGATCACCATTATCTGTTCGCTGTGTCGGAATACTAAAATATCCACCTAAATGCCTTCTACCGGGAGGTTCACTTGTTGACTTAGAATATGCTGATGACATAGTTTTATTTGGTGAAGACGCTGACAAAATGCAGTCTTCTGACCACTCTAAGCAACAATGCAAGCATGTTCGGCATGCGATTCTCTCCCTCGAAATACAAAATGTTGCTTCAGGATTGGGTTACATCGACACCCGAACTAGTGATAGGGAGTGAAGTAGTTGAGTGTGTCGACCGCTTCACTTATCTTGGAAGTCTCATCAGCCCTTGTGGTCTGGTGTGTGACGAAATCTCAGCACGGATACAGAAGGCTCGACTAGCTTTTGCCAACTTGCGTCATTTATGGCGTAGGCGAGATATCCGTCTATCAACCAAAGGACGTGTTTACTGCGCAGCAGTTCGTTCCGTCCTACTTTAAGGCAGTGAAACATGACCGGTAAGAGTAGAGGATATCCGTAGGTTACTAGTATTTGACCATAGGTGTCTTCGAAATATTGCTCGTATATCCTGGGACCATCGAGTAAGTAATGCAGTTGTTAGGAAACGGGTACTAGGCAAGGATGGAAAATCAACTGATGAAGTAGTGAAACTTCATCAGTTCAGATGGCTGGGACATGTGTTACGTATGCCCAACCACCGACTGACTCGACCTGCGATGTTTTATGGTGTAGGAGTAGATTGGAAAAAAGCTAGGGGCGGCCAGACCAAAACATGGCACAAGTCCATGAAATCACTGACAAGTAGACTGAGTCATATTGGTAAGTGTAGACTACCTGGTTGGGGACCGCGAGATGATAGCAACCGACGGTTAGAGACCCTGAACGACATGGCTCAAAATCGTTTGCAATGGCGCAGGTGCATCCACTCTTTGTGTTCTCCCAAATTCTAATCTTCTGAATTCTTCAGGTTCCTTTCTTTTTTCTCTTTCAAAATTTATTTCACTGAATTATACTCCTTGAATAACATCTTCAAACCATAGTTTTTCTGATTACAGCTTATAATTTTACTACATCTAGCACTACGGGATTTGAATCGACCACTACATCTCTGTGCTAATGTAGTGTGGCAACTTGAACTGATGTACGTACGTACGAAGTTCTACGTTGTTACTGACTGACTATCTAAAGGAAAGGGCAGACGTGAAAGAGAGAGCGTACTATTCATTCGACATATATTCAGGATCTACAACTCACTTAGCAATCCAATCAGTTTGATTTTTATTAAGATGTTTGTTAAGGTTCACCCATCCAACCTTGCTAGTCTTTTTTAAATCTTACCCTATCGAATAATTTATTTTAAATCCAATTTACGCGTACTGTATATACATACTAAATGAATGAACAAAGTGGACATATTTAATAAGGTTTAGCAGCTTTTTTAATTGCCTTCAAATGATTATTACAAGCCACCCATCGTTGACTAACTTTCTTATAACAAGGTGAGAACTAAATACTGAATCAATAAGTGGTACAAACAGAGTACATTTTAGAACACACATGTATAATTAACAAATCAGCCAAAATGGAAAACATGTGTTCAAAAGGAATCGGAAAAACCTAGTCCAAAGAAAAATATACAACAGAAAATTGATCTTACAGTATACAAAGGATTAATCGGGCAACAAGAGTAGAACAAAACTAAATCACAGTTCAGGCTTAGTGCATAAGCTTTACAAGCAATTATTTACAAAAGTCGATTATAAACAAAAGAACCAAAAATATATGAACACCGACACGCACCATAAACAACTCCAACAACTAAAGAAATTAAAACTCCTCGCAACGACCACTTAAATATGCGCCAGGAAAGAGGAGGTTCAAGTAGTCTACAAAAAAGAATAAATAAACGTAATACATGTTAAAAACTTTCATTAACAAACGAAAGTCATCATAAATAGCTTTAAAAACAACTTGAACTGACAGACCATAAATTTTGAAAATGTTTCAAAACTTTCATCGTCGTAAGCTGATATAAAGCAAAGAATAACTGACAATTCAGAAGTACTGTATATATATATATATATATATATATATATATATATATATATATATATATATATATAAGGAGCAAACATTTCAAGGGAAGTAAACAGTGAATGCATCTACACTACTGCGTCCGATTATGAGTTACGTCACTACACTTTTCAAATCCCTGGTTGAAAAAATTAATCAAACCCAAACGGGTCGTCTACATCTATCGGAATAGGTCAGACCAACCTAAAATCAATTTGCGCACTGGTCATCCGCTTTAGTTTCCCTGCCCTTGGCTATCGTACAACGTATTCTTAGGCTAGCCACAATTGAAGTTCAATATATATGGTGGTGGTTCGGGATAGTAACATTTTCCAGCCGCCTCAGTCTATGTAGGTTCACCTCTTCATCAACCGATTTTCCAGCTTTGCTTAGTATGCTGCGTCTAGCTTCAACATAGCTTACTCGGTCGTTCCACGGTACCACAGCAATAATTCAAAGACACTTATCGTCATAAACCTGCGGCTTACAAGTCTTTCGTAGAGCATGTTTCACAGATTTATGGTAACATGGAGTGTATTGCTACGCAGTATACGTTTTCTACATGGAATCTCACCAAATATCAAACTAAAAGGGCCAATAGGGCTTCTATGATAAGTGGGTGGTTAATGTACAGTAATCTAGACAATGATGTACAGCAGTCCAGCAGTAATGTTTTCGATTCAGATCCCGAAGGAGATAAAAATCAGTCCAACTATGTTTGCATTGATACTCGGTAGGTAAACTAATGAAGGATGAAAAGTTGGTCGATATAATCATGCTCAGTTCTGAAAAGTCTAATTCTCCTAAGCTCCAGGTAAGCGTAGGATGATTAGTGAAGATATCTTATACACTATTAGTTGAACTGATTCCTGTGGTTATTAAAGGAAGATTGTAAGGGTTCCTTGGAAATGTACAGGCATGAAAACCAACAATAAAAAGAACGTGCAGTGAGTTATTTTAGTGGTAAGCCGCAAAACAAACAGAAATTCAAGTCGGGAGAAGAGTAAATGCTCACTACTTGCATTGAATGGTGATCCAACTATGTTGCAAACTATTTGAAGCTGTAGACTGTTGATTTTGTCTTTGAATAGCGGTGTTTATTGCGGGAACAATCAGTTTTAGATGTAATCCTGGAAGCTTTAAACTAAAAAACAGCGGTCTAATATCGCCAGTTTCAAGAAGATCAGCTGTGATAACCTGTTTTGAAAATTACATCAGTAAAAGTGGTAGGCTTTGATAATAAAAATACATCAATCTAAGCGCAGCTACAAGCAAATGAAGCACAACTAGGCCTCAGCAACCATATGTATAAAATTGAGACATATTAATGAAATACTTTAGAAAATAATGGTGAGTAATAAAACATGAAGTTGGTGGACAATTTAACTGAAAAGTCAGTAGTTGAAAGCTTTAGAAATGTAATGTTATTTCATTGTAAGAAATTTATGAACATTCATTAATCTGTTAAATATTGGGTACACAATTTTCACTTACACGCATAATTCATGTTTTTTAATTGTGTCAACTGTTGACCAGACTTTGCGGATCCCAGCCACATGACCTATTCCGACAACAGCGACAACAACTCTTGGCAATATACTGGTCGGTGGCCAGTGCGAACAACAACTCAGGTGCGGAGGAGAGGGATCATTAAAGGAATTATCTCGTTCAGAACTGTGAGCAATTCCATCTGGTGAATAGTCATTAGACTGATCAATATTTTTACGGTGTTGCACAACAGACTCTTCAATATTTGACGGATTGTGTATCTCAGAAGTAAAATCCGGCTTTAGTGCTTGTGCTTTTAAATATTCTTCCATTCCAGTAGCCTCCCAAATGGAACGAGCTAGATATTGATCTCGTTCATCTAATAATATCCTTGTTAGTTCAGGGTGTTCACCAGCCATGGAAACTAACAGTTTTTCCAGAAAATCTGTTTTTTTCATCTCCTCAATTTGTTCTTTCCTAATAGGAAAGAAATTACAGTATCAGAATAAATTTTGCTGTAATGGAAAGCTGTGGAACACTACTAAAATTAGATGTATTACACAAATAAAGATCAATAGACTAGAAAATAAATTAACAAGAAAAAAGGAAACCAAGATGCTTCTCAACTGAACTGGATAGTTCTCACTAACTGAGCTACAAATCATTGACCCTAATAGTGGAGTGCTAGAATGGTTAGAAACTCGGGGAACTGTTACATTTTAGTAGAAACGTTTGTGTTCAGTGACTAGAATAGGAAAGAAAAGTTTGGAAAACACTGCTTACAGGACAATTACATCTAACGAGAGAAAGTACAGTAACTTATGATATGTAAACTAACTTCAGTATCCAAACAAAAACTCAGTGTTGAAGTTACTCACTGACAAAATTATACAGCATAGTAAATTTATCAGCAATTACTTACGTAATGGGTTGGAAACTGAATAGAAGAGCAACAAAAAACTTGAGCTTAGTCCATGGACCCAACGCCTCCAAAGCTCTATAAAGTGTAATGTTTACAGGACGGTCTCCTAGAACAACGTGACAGTGAGGCTGCTTCATC